AGGAGGAGGAGGAGGGAACACAAAAATCAAGAAACGGAACGTAAGTAATTGAATCCTTGCTCTAAATATAATTTAGACTGTCATAATATATGATGATAAGACATGTAATTTTGTGGCTAAAAGTCTTTAATTATCTCCAAACCAGAGAGTTTTCAATAAGGTTGAGTTAGATCAACTCTAGAACGAATAGGAGATCTATCAATACTACTTCATATCTTTCGTAGTTTAGGAACTAGTCCATCCACAGGACAATTTTTTTAGTGAGAGAAATCTACTTACTTATTTTTGTATAGCAGTAGTTAGTTTTGGCTAATATATTATGAATTTTCAGATTCATGGGGTTTTGAATGCAATCAGCTGGGGCATCATGATGCCTGTAGGTGCTTTGTTCGCAAGATACTTGAAGGTATTCAAATCGGCGGACCCTGCATGGTTTTACCTTCACGTTACTTGCCAAACATCGGCGTACATCATCGGTGTCGCCGGATGGGCCACCGGACTCAAACTCGGAAGTGAGTCTCCTGGAATTCAACACACCACCCACAGAAACATTGGCATTCTCCTATTCCTCCTTGGAACCCTCCAGGTGCCCCCACATTCCCCCATATTTCCAGTTGTAATGCCATAAAAAATAAAAAATAAAAAAAATTACACTTTGCACACCTCAATAGTCACATGTTTCTCATTGTACCTTCAACTATGTTTAATAGTTTTACTTTGATCCAATGGTTAATGTCAATTACAAATTTGACGAAAAGTTATTTCATTTTTACTTCTGAGTAAGGGGGTGTTAATCGAACCGAGCTCTACAAGCTTGAGTCCGAGTATACCAAGTTTGTTTTTTTAAACAAGTCTAAAAATTAATTAAATTTGACTTGTTTAGAACTAGAGCTGAGCATGAGCCCGGGCCAAACTTGAACCAAATCTGAATAACTTGACTATTTTATATATAAATGAGTTGACCTTGAGTCAAGCTATTTTAAGACTCATTCTTTTTAAACGAGCATAAAATATTGTTCAAACTTAACTGGTTTAGAATACGAGTCGAACTCGAGCTGAGTCTTATCCGACCCAAGCCCTAGCCGAATCCGAGTAGATTATCTCGATAAACACCCCTACTTCAGAGCTATTTGATTTTATTTCACTTTTTCCATATACTTAAATGTTTTTCATCAAAAAATAACTGATGTTTGCTTTTGAGGCAATGTGATGAAACCGAGATCCATAGTTAAGGGGCAGTTTGAGAAATAAGGGACAAATAATATGAGGCCACAATTGAAGCGGTCAAAGTGTAATTTGTCCATTTTTTTACTTACCACTTTGGCCATTGTAGCATGCTAAGTTACGTTTTGGTGTGGATGTAGGTGTTTGCTTTGCTTCTAAGGCCGAACAAGAACCACAAGTACAGATTCTACTGGAACATCTACCACCACTCAGTCGGATACATGGTGATTCTCCTTAGCATCGTTAACATATTCAAAGGATTCGATATCTTGAAACCGGAGCACCAATGGCAGAGAGCTTACACTGCAATCATTGTGATTCTAGCGATCATTGCTGTATTGTTAGAAGCTTACACATGGTTTGTTGTGGTGAAGAGGAAGAAGGCGGCAAGTGCTGAGAAGATGCCACAGGGCACGAATGAAACAAATGGGCACAATGGGTATGGAGCCAGGACACAGGAGAGAGTGTAGTTCAAAGTTATCTGCTATATTGTTTGATTTGACCATCTTTTGTTGCACCTATTTATACACACTGGCCTGGCCTCTTCCACAGGGTGAAAGGGGGCGTCTTGAGATGCCCCATGTACTGTGGAGTTTAGTGCTAGATGTTATTTTTTCACACTTCTATATTTATTATTGTGCAGACCAGCATGAATCTGTTTATTATATACCATATTGAGTTTGTTTTTGATATCATTTTTCTCCCCAACTTCTTCTAAAATGGCCTCTGAATGATCAAACAGTATTAAGTTCAAATATTCATCCGTCACCATCTAAGAAAACCTTGCTACTTACTGGATCATACAATAAAATAAAGATCATGAAAGTTCATTTCTTTCTCAATGTGGTATGTTTAAGTTTGTGCCATTTTAGACTCATATTATTTTCATGTTAACGAAATTACTTGATTCTAAAATCATCATAGAACTTGGTCAAAAAATGAACAAAAAATCATGTTTTATTCATACAAAATAGTTAAATGAAGAATTCGAGTGTAACCATAGCTCGGCCCGTATAATATTTGTATTAATAAGTTATGTCATGTTTTGATTCATATTCTCTTGACTTCGTGTCGAGTTCGTATTCATATGCAAATTTGACACTCCTAATTTCAAGGTAATTAGGAAAAAAAAATATAATGAAGGATGTTGCAATTCACACCTTGCCTCTTCCATGGGTTTTCTTTCAACCCAACTCAACGAGATCTTGTACTAATATTTTTAACTTTTTTTTTTTTTTGCAAATTAAAGAAATATTAATATTTCATACGAGATGGACTAAATTTTTTATTTTGTCCGTCGCTAGGCCCAAGATAGGTCCAAGGCCAATGCTTACCCTTCGGCCCATGACATTCTCAATGCCACCAGACTTCCAAAGCTTGCATATTCCTCTTTCATTTCTTTTAAAGCCTACTACGGCCTCGCCTGCTTGGCTGTTTGGATACTTGCAAACTTAACATAGGGCAAGTTTCACGAGGATTACTAAACTATTGCGACTTCTTAAAAAAAACTATAAATATAGCTCTTCACATGACCTAACAAACCTACATACATTTCATCCAATTTTCCTCTCCTCGTCCTCCTCGAAACCCTTCCTTTTCTTCAATCATCGTTTTGTTTTCGTGGTTGATAAGTTTTTTTTTTTAAAAATCCGACACTTTTTTCATCCAAGAGCAAATGCCAACAGTGACCGTAACAAAACACTTTCTGCTTCTTTTATGCATAACATCATCTTTGTGTTTCTCCTCCTTTGCTCTCGCTCCCTCTACAATACAATCATGTGCCAACTATGCATTCCCTAATAATAGAGAGTTTGCGTCATGTGTTGATCTTCTTGTTTTGAACTCATTTTTACATTGGACGTATTACCCATCTTCAAGCACAGTTCAAGTCGCTTATCGGCACACAGGAATAACTTCAACAACATGGGTTGCATGGGGTATCAATCCCACGTCAAAAGGCATGGTAGGCACACAGGCATTGATCACACACCAGAAATCAGATGGAACAATTGATGCTTACAGGTCGCCTGTTAATAGCTACAAAACTCAGTTGTTAGAAGGAAATTTGAGTTTTAAAGTCTCATATTTGTCAGCAATGGTTGTCAACCAAGAGATTATCATCTTTGCTACTCTGGAGCTCCCCAAGAACACTAGCACTATAAATTATGTTTGGCAAGATGGTCCTGTATTAGGGAACGTTTTGGGAATGCATAGTCTTTCTGGACAGCATCTTCAATCTATGGGGACTTTGGATCTTTCTTCCGGGATATCAATGCCAACAAAAGGAGGAAATTCCAAAGCCAAATTACGTAACGTAAGTACCTAAATCTATTAATAACTATTCATTTCAACACTTGCATCTTAACTATAGTTGCTTCCATCTTATGCAATTGTTACTCTTTTTCCTTCGAAAGTGTAAGCAATTTTTATGATCTTATTGGCAATAAGCTAGCTGATAGTGTATGCTTCTTCTGACATGGACATCATACCTGAATTCTAATTGCTATGGTAATCAATTCTACAGGTTCACGGAGTATTGAACGTGGTTAGCTGGGGTACCATGATGCCTATTGGTATGTTACTAGCAAGGTACTTGAATCCCTCAAACCCTCTAGGCTTCTATATTCATGTTACTTGCCAGTGTTTAGCCTTCATTATTGGTGTCGTGGGATGGGCAACTGGTGTTGCACTTCGTCTCAAGTATTCGGGCGTTCATCATACTGACCATTTGGCCATAGGCACCATTGTCTTCTGCCTCGCAATACCCCAAATCTCATCTTTATGGCTGCGACCCCAGAGGGATCATAAGTATAGATCTTACTGGAACACCTACCATAAATTTTTGGGATACATAGTCCTCGCCTTGGGTATTTCCAATGTGTTCATAGGATATAAAATCTTGAATCTTGCGAAGGGATGGGAGATTGCTTATTATGTCATCTTTGGGGCCTTGTTATTTGCTCTTGTTGTGCTAGAAGCTTGAAAAAGGTACCTAGAGAAGAAACCAACAAGCGACGAAAAGATGGCGCAACCGAGCAACGAAGCAAATGAAGACGTCGCAAATGCTGCTAACCCGCAAGAGACCACATTAGAAGGCTCTCCATTAGGTTCAGAAGTGAACCTTTATTTGAATAGTTTTTGCTTACGCTTGTTGACACTTGAAACATTGCATTTTTTTAGCTGTACATTAGGATTAAAATTGTATCAGTACTTCAGTTCTATGTATTGAAAATTTTCAGTTACATTTACCCTTTCTATTTTATTGCGTACCCAGATTTATGCCACGCTACTGATTGATTAACAAGTAATTCTAGATGGACTTAAAAATTAGACTCGATAATCTCAGCCATTGAATAAGTAATGGATCCTAATAAATACTGGAATCCACAGTGAAATCAATGGTTGAGATTATCAAATCTAATTTTTAACTCTACTCTTAATTAACAGTTTGAGCGGCCTAAAATGGAGATATGAGGTGACTTAAGCAAAATCATTAACCGAGTTAATGAAAATAAGTTGGGCTTGGGAAACTGTAATGACCCACTTTCTTGGTTAATGCAAATGATATATAGTTTTCGAATCATTTGCAGAATATCCCAAGAAGTTGGAATCAATAGTACAAGTTTTATATTAAAGTTTTGATAACATATCTTTTAGAATTGATGGCACAACTGCAAGCTTGATTTTAAAGAGTTTCTTTATACAAAAGCAACAGCTACTGTTATTAATTATGTAAACAATGCCTATATTTAGATAAAATGATGAACAAAATAACCTGAATTGTTGGACTCACCTCTATGATGATTAGGTTTGAAAGAATGGGATTTAATATTTAGTTGGTTCATTAATCATTTTTTTTCGGTATTGTTGATTTTTTTTTTTTTAAACGGTGATGATGTTCACCGCCTCAAAAAATGTCACCTCACTATTTTTAAAAGTCCATGTGTGACACGTGGGCAATATTTCCTATAACATTCAAATATTCTCTAATGATTCTAAAAGATTTAGAGGATCACACAATCATAAGTGAGGACCACAACCCCACCTGTGTATAAATAGGGCACACACCTTACTGTAAAAAGGGATTTAACCTTCTTCTTCCCAAAGAAATCCAAAAAAAAAAAAACAAGTGTCTTCGTTACGGTGAACTAGTCAAGTTCATCAACTTTCTAAATCACTCATTTTCTTGTACACTAAGCTCACACAGCTCTTTTCACTCACACCAGTAATGAATTGGGTCGCCAAATTAAATCTCGAGCATTTATCTATACAAAAGATGAGACCATTGTAGAAAGGGCTTAAAGCCATTGCTTTGATGGTCACATGGATATGGTAGGGTCCCGAATTCAAAATGGGAATCTTAAGGCAGCTTCTTGTTATGTAGGCTCGTCACCGCCTCTCGTCGGCCCTGCATTGATAAGAGTCTCTGCTGGATGTTCTTTTAAAGTAATTATGTGGTTTGGCATATACCAACATAACCATGACAAGGCCATAGAAATCATTCATACTGCTTCCTAGTATCAAGCTTCTCAAACTACTCTAAAGAAATCTTTGTAGCGCCAGACCAATAATTGCACCAAACCAAGCCATCACAATACTCCAAGCACCAACTTGGGTTCAACTTCATCATTGAGCTTTTCCTAAAAACATGCTTTGTTCATTCAGACTAGGGATCCAATACTATTTTTAATCTCCGTTGGGAACCCGCTGTGACCTGAAAGTAGTTTAGAGAGCTGCATAGTACAAGTGTTCATCTCCGTTGGGAGCTACTGCAATATGGAGATTTATATAGACGCAAACTACAGTTCCTGTTGACCAAATCTTGCGTTCTACTACGATGTAAATGACAATGAACTCGTTCAAAGTGTATAATACCTCTAAAACACAACTCTGTAGTATCGCATACATCAAAAATTATGAGGGTGTATAATACCTCTAAAACACAACTCTGTAGTATCGCATACATCAAAAATTATGAGGGTGTATGCTACCTAACCACTATTTTATGCAGCAAGATGATAGTGGAGTCTATTCCATAACACCCTCTTACCTTCCAACCCTAACACTAAAAAAAGTATAGGAAAAACTAAATACTTAACAACATGCAAGAGAAAATATGAAAATTTTCCGTAAGCTTCACATAAATCATGCACATGATTTATCTCGGAACGATTACTTCACATCATCAAAGAAAAATATGGAACTTCAGGAAGCTTAATATAGGTCATATATAAACTGGTTTCAAAATGTAGCGGATGCCATATTTCTTATTATTTGAGTTGCAAAATATCAATTGGATATTACAAGGTACTTTGGCACTTCTCAAGGCCAAATGCATACTGGAAGAATCACTACACTCGACCNCACATCATCAAAGAAAAATATGGAACTTCAGGAAGCTTAATATAGGTCATATATAAATTGGTTTCAAAATGTAGCGGATGCCATATTTCTTATTATTTGAGTTGCAAAATATCAATTGGATTTTACAATGTACTTTGGCACTTCTCAAGGCCGAATGCATACTGGAAGAATCACTAGACTCGACTAACTTATCTCAGCTAATGGTATTTAACCTTTGAGATGGATTCCATACACTTCTAGCTTGATTCTTTTCAGAGGTAACGACAGAGCTTAACTGTGAATCCATGCTATTCTATCTTCCCTTCTCTCATTCTGATTGCCGCAATGCCTCTATAAATGCATCCTTGAGAAGAGGATTTGAAGCTGCGACTCGCTGTGCTGTGATGTCAAAATCTTTCCCAGATCTGGTGCAAAATAACGTCATGATCTTGACATAAGCAAACTATTTCAAGAACATTTTGTTTGAATATTCATTAGCACAGTAACAAAATCAAGATGACCTCCTTGCTACTTGTGCAGTAGCTCTTAAAACATCAATACTTGTACATTAACATATTCTTTCCTCAATGCCCACTGGATGAAAATCTATGCAAATATTTTCTCTTTTCTAAGCTAAACCCAGTGTGATGGGGTATTAATGGGTAGGTTCAATTTTTGCTAAACTCGTCATTTCCCTTCTATTAAATTTTAGAAGGAAAAAAAAAATTTCCTTGAAGAAACTAGCATTATTTTCCTTGGAATTCATAGCTTAAAATAAAATTGTTTCTTACGGATCAAACAAAAGTCCTCCAGCCTCTTTAACAATCACAGCGCCGCCTGCCACATCCCTGAGCATAAGAACAAAGCAGGTCAATCATGTATCACATCAACTATGTATTTACACTTCCAGGAGGAAAAGGAGGGGGGGAAATCATGTATCGCACATCAGGATTTACTCAAGCAATAGAAACAAACCATACCAAGGGCCTCCAAATCCTAGTTCATAGAACAGATCAAGCCTACCACTTGCAACCCCACAAAGATTCAATGCACAAGAGCCACTCATCCGAAGGGATCTCACCTGATGACAAGAGAAACCAATACTAGTATTCATGGTAGCCAAAAAAATTTCACCTCTAGCTTCCATGCAAGTTCTGGTCTTACCTTGAAAAGTAAGCTATTAATCCTATTTGTAGAGGCATCAAGAGTGGCCTTATCTCGCTTTGTTCCAGCCTGCTCTCTCAGACAAAAACAGCATAATGAGTTTCTCACTAGAAACAGTAGAGAGTTGAATTTTAATATGCTCAGTCCATTTATATTAACCTAGAAGAGTGATTTTCCTAAAAAAAACATACCAACTAGGAAAAAGAGAGTGCAAAACATGAAATCTGAAATACATTTTCTCATATGCAGGAAGCTGGCTGTCAAGTCTCTAGTGAGAAGATCAATGCGACTTAGATAATATAAGTGCCATCAATGTATGTCATTCTTTTCAATTTCCTCAGGAACTTCAAGCCTTCTAACAGATAGACTCCACTGCAGTACATTATTACTTCCATATTGCAAGTAACAATACATCCACAGTCATAGATAGGTGTTAGAACTCACTGGATAATTTGCAAGAAATTTGCTATTTGTATGTGCTAGAAGTAAAATTTGACAATTATTGTTCATGGAAATAATAGCCTTATAAAACTAGCAGCAAATAGAGGCTCTCTTTATGGTAGTAATATTTAAGCTTTGTAACTTACAGCCAAAGATAGAAAAGTTGGCTCTCTATAAAAAAGATCAAGGTAACCAGAACTTGAACAGAACTATGTGCTCTTGGTCATTTGTCCAAATGATGTATCTCGCAAGTCTAAATATCACAACTTCTCAAGTGTTTATTCAAAGAATGCAAAGATATATGTGCCTGTAAATGTGTTGATAAATGTAACTGCTAATTTTATTTTANCTCTTGGTCATTTGTCCAAATGATGTATCTCGCAAGTCTAAATATCACAACTTCTCAGGTGTTTATTCAAAGAATGCAAAGATATATGTGCCTGTAAATGTGTTGATAAATGTAACTGCTAATTTTATTTTATTTTTCTCAATTTGTGTTGCTATCACATCTTATACTCCAAGTTATTGTTTGTATGCAACTGCAACTAGAAAAGAAGAGGCTGACAACGAAAATAGTTAACAGTTTCTGTAATTTTTTTACCACTGTGCAAACAAATATGTNATTTTATTTTATTTTTTCTCAATTTGTGTTGCTATCACATCTTATACTCCAAGTTATTGTTTGTATGCAACTGCAACTAGAAAAGAAGAGGCTGACAAGGAAAATAGTTAACAGTTTCTGTAATTTTTTTACCGCTGTGCAAACAAATATGTAAGAGCATTACCTCCGTAGCAAGGAGGGACTTCAAAAGTTCAGATTGAGAAGAAACTGCAGCATCAGAACATAACATGGAATTGTCATACATCCATCACTTGAAATCACAATCGCAGAAAGTACCAGTATTTAAGCAATGAACTCACCTTTTATGGGGTTTCCGTTAAGAAAAGCACCTTTTCCATGGACACCAGTGAAAAGCTGCACATCATTAACCCAAAGAACGAACTTCACTCGCATAATCTTTTCTAAAACACGATCTTAGTTTTGAATTTTCAAGTTTCAACATATAGCCATATGAACTTGTAAGCTTCACCAGATCAATACAGCTATACCAGACATGGGGACAAGGGAGGGCAAACAACTAAGTGCTTGAGCTACTGGTAACAAATAAGATCCCCTGGACTTTTCTCAAGGCCTAGGGATGCTTCCCATACCCTAAAATTGGCAGGTACTGGCAAACATTATACTATCTGAGTTCGTTGACGGTTAATGAGGTACACAGTCTATGATTATCAAGGCTGACTTATTGAGTAATGCATACTTCTAGCATAAAAATTCTCACCTCGTCCATTATAGGGTTGTAAACAACACCAACTGTGGGGTTCTTACTAATTGTGAGACCAATGGAAACACACACAAAGGGGAACCTGCAAGCCATAGAGGCGAGGAAAGAATACAAGTAGAGAGATCAATTGTATGATCAATAAGAGATTTCATACAAAGTATAAATAGGGCATAAGAGTTTCATGAGTACCCATGCACAAAGTTTGTTGTCCCGTCAAGAGGATCAATTATCCATGTTGGTTCATCAGTCAATTCTGTAATGCCACAAGCAGCAGTGGTTTCTTCCCCAATGAACTAAGATGAAGAGAGATTAAAACCAGTAATAGGACATATGTCTTTAAATGGANAATGCCACAAGCAGCAGTGGTTTCTTCCCCAATGAACTAAGATGAAGAGAGATTAAATCAAGTAATAGGACATATGTCTTTAAATGGAAAAAAAATGAACCAAACACTAAAATACTACCCATGAGACATATAAAGCAGCCAACAGATGCAAGAATCAACCTTATGATCAGGGAAATGCTGCTTAAGATAATCGAATATGAGATCTTCACATGCTTTATCAGTTTCTGTTACCAAATCCACCTGGCATTGACAAACAAAGAAGGTGCAAAAGAATCATTAATTGCCAACTCTTGTATTACAGGTCAAAAAAATTGATACAAAGGAATTTTTATTCATTGTCATCAGATTTCAGTGAAAATTTGTCTGTTTCTTACCAATTAAATCAATTTTCTTGATTTGTCCTTGATTTCAACTTTTGAAATCTTTGTACTATACTGAAGGTCTATTCCACATCCCTTGAAACTGGGATATGAGGGACCTTATATTTGAATTACCAAACCATTTTAATGTAACTTTCCTTATTATATATATCTGATTTTGGTATTCCATGGTTTTCATTTTTTCTGTGTTTTTCTTATCAAGCTAGTTTTCCGGTTCGGGGCATTCCATCCATCTCTCTCCTGCCGCCAACACAACCAAAACCCTCGGGTTCAGCCACTTCAACTTCAAAATTCTCAAAGCAGCTGAACATTTTCATCACTTGGTTGGCGACTTTATAATAGCAAATGATGGACCTTAATGATTTCTATTACTTTTCTCGTCAACAAATTTTCAGGATTAGCATTCAACATGATCTATGATATATCTCAAAAACCCATTTTTATTTCACCCAGCTGGATCTTATTATTTGCAATTCTCATCTGGCAAGTTATCCAAGTTAACAGAACCAAACTGATCACTTCGACAATTTTTCTAATCATTAGTCACAATTAGCATTTCCTGTGCACAAAACAAATCTCCACAGCATTACCACTTTGTGTTCAATGTAACCAACTTTTATCTCATTACCCAGATTGTCTTCTAAAACCATTTTAGTTTCAAAATCAACAACTGACAAAAAAATATGAACACATATACATGCAAACACAAAATTCCGGTAGAGAAAAATTAAAAATACCAGGCCTTTATGCTCCACATGCTTGGTCTGGTAAAAACCTTTACGGATGACCTTTAAAATAGAAAATAGAAAACATAATAAAAATGGGTGAAGCTGACATTGGCTCAAATTGATGAAAAAAATGAAGAAAATAGAGGATTCTGGAAATGGGTTTTCGAATTTGATTTACCTCTCCTGCTTTCTTAGCTGCCTCCACAGCAACAGCAAGAAACTCTTCAACTGAACCTTAAGACCATATAATTAAATTAGAAAATAATTCATTCAATCACTCAAAACAAAGCATATAACACAAATGCATACTTAAAAAAGCCAGATAAATACAGATACCAAGCGGAAAGAGATTGTTGGGGTCCTACCATTTTCAGCCATTGTTTAATTGGGTGGTGAAGCAGGAGAGCGAGAAAGAGAGAGGGAGAGAGTATAGAAGATCGACTTTTTGGCTGTTGCTGAGCTTTTCACGTTGTACAGGAGAGAACAAAATGGATGCCAATAATTTATAGAGGATTTATAGGACGAAAGTGCCCCCCAGAATTACTGTGAAATCACAAAGACAGTTTAATTAGAACAACGGAAGATGCTAATGCTAATCACTGGTGTATTAGAGAATTTTCTAAATGGTATACTTAGCAAACGTGTAACACAAACGGGTGTTGAAATGACAAACTTGCCCCTACGTTGTCGTATTACAAACAAAAGAATAGGGTAACCTTACAGATGGTAGAAGCCACTTAAAAGGCTCTCTTTTACATGTTATCACCCCCGATTCGAGTTTTGCTTCTTTCTTTGATATAATGTTATGTTATCTGATGAAATCCTTGAAAAAATATAAATCATCTTAGAGCTCTATAATTATGTGTATTAATTTATGTCATAACATAAGTTTTTCTATTGAATTATTTTTTTTAAAAACTAGTAAAAGATACAAAGAATATTCTTATTTGGTAGCCAAATAAATCGTATCATATTGTAAGCAATAAAATGACCTATTGTCTGAATATGTGGGCATTTGAAAGGATTATGTTTTTTTTCTTTTTCTTTCTTTCTTTTATTGCTTTTTTGGAATAAATCTTCTATTCAATGTATTGAATTNATTGTAAGCAATAAAATGACCTATTGTCTGAATATGTGGGCATTTGAAAGGATTATGGTTTTTTTCTTTTTCTTTTTCTTTCTTTCTTTTATTGCTTTTTTGGAATAAATCTTCTATTCAATGTATTGAATGGCAGGAGGGCATTTTATGAAAGTATATCCCTGAAAATGGCATATTATGAAGTAATAGTGGACGAGGGCACTTTAGTCACAAAAATAGATGCTTGGAATATGCCATTTATGCTGGTTCGTTAATTGTTATTCGATTCTTTTTCACATGGCCGAAATTAGCTGCCAACTGCTCTCTCGCTTCTCTCTCTCTCTCACACACACACACACACAAGGGTACCCATTATTTTTTTTGGTGGTATATCGGGAAGGTAAAACAGAAAACAATAACTAAATGGAGTTCCTAGAAAAGGCGACAGCCAGCCAGATCAGCTAACAATTTTTTTGCTAATTGGGGAACGAGAGCANACACAAGGGTACCCATTATTTTTTTTGGTGGTATATCGGGAAGGTAAAACAGAAAACAATAACTAAATGGAGTTCCTAGAAAAGGCGACGCCAGCCAGATCAGCTAACAATTTTTTTGCTAATTGGGGAACGAGAGCATCAAACTCAAACTCAACAAAATGTTCCTGTTGCTGGACACCTAAGTTAGCCAGAAAATCAACACACTGATTGCCTTCCTTAAGAGTGTGAACAAGGGAATATGATTTTGCTCCATCAACCTTCTGCAGTAAGAAATAATGACTCTGTTCGGATGAATAGCCTCCGGATCCTTGGAGATAGCTCATAGCTCTACTTGTAAACTCGTAGTACCCATTAGAGAATACATGTTTTTTTTTTTTTCNTTGCCTTCCTTAAGAGTGTGAACAAGGGAATATGATTTTGCTCCATCAACCTTCTGCAGTAAGAAATAATGACTCTGTTCGGATGAATAGCGTCCGGATCCTTGGAGATAGCTCATAGCTCTACTTGTAAACTCGTAGTACCCATTAGAGAATACATGTTTTTCTTATTATAGGTGTTCAGATTTACATTGACTATTCTTTCGAGTTCAATTGCGACTACTACCGTAACTTAAACTGGGTTAACCATAACATATATGTTCACATGTTGTGTTGTTTCTATCATGATTAACAGACATAATTTTGGACCCTTTGAAGTTGGGGTTAAATATTAAACACCCCAGTCGAAGTTTGATCCAGCACCACACACAATTACAAGCATTTTATCAGAATTCAATCTTAATACACTTGCCTGAAGGCCCTGAACTTAAGAATTAGTATGGGTGATGTAAAACCATATTGAGTCTAACTCAATCCTAAAATTTTGATCCAGCTTCAGAAGATGTACATGCTTTTAATACTCAATCTGGAAAAAGCAATGTTACACTTTGATCATCTCCTTCCGTTTGAAGGTTTGTTGATGTGGAGATGACAAGCACAAGTGACATCTCCGTCACTAAATAATTGACCCAACATGGATTAATGAACCTATAATTGGATTTTATAGCTCTTCCTTCTTATCACTTGACTTAGCTTTCTGCATGGGACTAACCAGTATATATATATTTGGTGGCACTCTAACATCAAACTTATTTATTTGAGAGTGATTTTCAAAATGGAAACATTTACTTACAACACATCATAATCAAACAAGATCAAACCTCTTTTCCCTTTCTAATTCATCCAAACACGCTAAGCAGTGATTTCACAAATAACATAATGCAATCATAAGATCTCAGAACAGTTCCTTTTGCCGTACGAGTCTCCTATAACTTAAACAGTGGTATTTTTNATCATAATCAAACAAGATCAAACCTCTTTTCCCTTTCTAATTCATCCAAACACGCTATGCAGTGATTTCAAAAATAACATAATGCAATCATAAGATCTCAGAACAGTTCCTTTTGCCGTACGAGTCTCCTATAACTTAAACAGAGGTATTTTTGCTGGATTCAGCTGTTTTCACCATTAAATCAGCTTAAATCATAAAACCAAAAGAAAATTGAGTTTCAACTGAAGGATATGCAGCATTGGTTTTTTTCACCTGACTAATGCATGGCCATAACCATTTGATATCCAACAGATTCATGCACACATTAAGGCAATACATTATCGCATATTACCAATCAATAAACTGGCACTTACCCCTTCCAGTTAACTACTTTCATGTTCAAATATTTTTTTTTATTTCTTTCCATCCCCAGAATCATTCATAATTGAAATATACACAATATTGGGGGAAAAAAAACAACGTGAAAAAACCGCAACTGAATTAAGTGTCATCAATACCGAAAAAACCGCAACTGAATTACCCGAACAACATACCATGATAGCTAATCCACAAAGTGAAGCAGCATTCATGGATGCTCTTTGGGCTCAAGAGCAGCAATTTCTCTTACGACTTGGGCTTTGTCTGCCTCAAACTGTTCATCCTCTGCGCCACAGCAAAATAAATAATTTTTATTTCAATTTAAAAAATAAATAAATAAATAATTGAGGATGATGCCAAGACTACACACACAAATGATTTATTCTAAATGCATATCTTCCGTTCCTACCTTTATCTAACTTAAAATCGGCAAACAGACGGAGAAGCTTGCTTCTATTTGCAACCAAGATGCTAACAATATCTGGGGGCTTGTTTTGATTGGCGGCAAATATCTGCAAATTCCAAAATTCTCAATTGGAGACAACCACAAATTAAACAAAAGAAAATAAAAGAAGAACGAACAAGAACTCTTGGCTATTCATCTAATTCACACCATATGAGCACATAACAAATTTAGATATGATACCTTAAAAACGTGAAATGCCTCAATCTGAATGCTCTTGCTCGACTCCTGCGAAACAGTAGTGACCTTAGAAAGAATACAAGTTCAAAGTTTCATGATCACCATGAAATCTTAGAGGGAAATACAGGGTTCACCATTGCTTACAACAGATAAACAGGAAGAGTCATGTGACAGTATATCAATTGCTTTAATGCAATACAATCATGACATCTCCCACTTTACAATGGATTTACGGAAGATTTTTTTTTTTTTTTTTTTGAGAGAAGGAAAGAAAATAAACGAAGGTACAGGAGAAGGGATAGAGGTGTTGACATAAGAATCAAGCAACAAGAAATAGCATCATTACTCTCAGAAGATTCATAAGAATCCTCAAGTTATCTTTTGAGCTGACATATCGCATCATCACAGCAGAGTTTGAACGATCCAATAAGATATCTCCTAATAACTGCAACAATCCAAGAGGCTTTTTCAGCAATAATGTAACTACATCTTTTTTCAAGATGCAATGCCAAACAAGTCAAAGGTAATTGGCACACTCAACTCAGAGAATCATGATAATCAAGTGGGATTGATTGTACGGATTGCAATTATAAAAACCAGGGCCACAGAGAAATCATGGTATCATTATGCACAAGAAACAGTAAAGTTCCAATTCCCAAACATTTGAAGATGCTTTCATTACACAGCCTCCAAAACCCAAATAATATAGGGCGTTTATATATACCTATAACTTCTAATATATTCTCCATACACTAAAAAAGATTATATTTCCACATCACTAATTCAAACACAATTTGAGCTACCCTAGTGCACAGGCACTGGCTAAGGTTTTGTCTAATAAACATAAATCATCTCCCTTCTCAAGATTTCCTCCTCATGAAAGATACTTATCCCTCAAAACTCAGAACACATGGCCTTTTCCTTATACTCTCGCTTCCCCTTTCCCCTTTTTCTTTCAAGATGGGGGAAGGAGGAGGGAGAGTCAATGTTCAAGAAAGGAAAAGGCAAAAACTTTTATAATAGCAGAAATTTCTGTTCTGAATAGTAACATTAAAACAGAAATTATACAATTCAGTAAAAAAACAAGCAATGTAAGAATGGTCAACTGTCAAGTACATGCATGTAATTCCTCTATATGTATTGGATGTCTTAACTTCAAATATCGTTTATCCCAAAACACATGACCATTATTACAAAGTCAAACCATTCAAATAGGTAGATTTCCAAAGTATACTAAGAGTTTAACACCTTAAAGAATGGGCAATTTGAATGATTGTGTTGAGATGTTAAGTGCATCTCTCATTAACTCTGTTTTTTACAAACATGACAGTCAATGTAGAAGGTGGGATAATAATCTTTTCTCTCTTAGAACAATTGATAGAAATATTTATGATCATATTACTTCTCCTATTGGACCATGCAAAATGTGGGATTACAGAACAAAACTACAATTTTTATCCTACCTTGACAGCTTGTCGTCTGGTAATGTAATTGATAGATTCAAGCAGCTTCGAGTTATACTCTGCAAAAAACTAGACCCCAAAAAGGTTTTGGAGAATATCAAGCTATCGCCAACCAGGAAACAATCATAGAAAACGATGAACAAATTGATAAACAAATTGCTGCAAATGCTAAAGTTCTCTGCTGGGGCGTACATTCATTTGAGCATATTAATAAAACTTAAAATGAAAGGAAAAGTTAGCATAAACTTGAAGTGAGCTATAGGATATAAAATCAGGTTGATATCAACAGTACAAACCATGGAGTTTACGACTGATACTTTCCAGGAACATATCTTTCCTTTGCTTTTTTCCAGAACATATACATATTCAACGTGCTGCGAAGAATAATGTTTTATGAAAGGGTCCAACATGTCTATAAGTACTTTCATGCATCACAAATGCATCTTAGCAACTATGAGTTCACATGTGGTTGACATACATAGACACATGAAAATTTGGATATGCAGACATATTGATAAAGTACTAAGACAAAAATCAGTTACCCAATCATAATTTTTAGAAAGAAATTCAGCTACAGTGGATTTATGCCTGGTCATGAGTTCCTGCAATAAAATGCACAAGTCATTCTAGTGCTTTTGCAACGGCACATGACATAACCAAAATAAATAAATAGAGGAAAACTACCATTCAAAGTCATACATTCCCACATGGTTTAAAGTATTGGCCGACTCCATTATGAAGAGACTGAACTTTGATGGTAGATTCTCGGGTTTGACAATAATAGAAAAAGAAAATTCGATGGAGGGGAATAGAGAGGAAGTGAAGAGGGAGGAAAGAGTGTATATTCTATAACATTATTTGGTTAGTTCGGTCAAGGGCACTCAACCTTAAATGTTGCCGCAGCATCAGCAGCAACGTCAAAATTTGGGAGTTGCATATAATCAAAAAACTTCTTCATATGCTCAGATTCCAAGACATGCCTGTCAACCAACATAGAAAATTGTAAATGTCATAAAATCAAAACATATGTGCAATAGAACATCATTCCGTCCACCACTACAACCTTCAACAAGTATTCTAAATTCTATGAGGACCTCAGACTAATATCAATAAGAGACACTTGATATGTTCTCATTCTTTTCACTCTTCCCATAATTTATTTAACAAAAATTAAACAACTGATGTCTTCTTATCTTTGGGCATAAATCTAGTCAAAGAACAAAAAATGAAATGACCAGTGTCAATTGGATCACCTTGCAACACTCTGATGACGTATGCATTCCCTCAGCATTGCACCATAATGCAAAGCCATATCCATGTTCTCATAACTAAACAACACAGCACATGAAAGTCACACTACATAAAGAATAAATATTCCCAACACCATCCAACCAAGTATAACTTAAGCTGCCAATTAATAAATAGAACTCAAAAGCACAACGGAGATATTGTCAACAAACAAAAACATGGTTTCCAAAGACTCTTCCTATAAAAGCGTACCCTGACATCAAAATGTCCATTAAATCGATGTTTGCTTCCAAGTAATCACAAGCAATGAGCCGTGACTGAACTTGTTGTCTTTGCAGATTCGCAACAACCTGAGTGGCATCTTTACGAGCCTGCAAACGGTGATCCTTATCATGATAGATAACATAAGGAGAAAACAGCACAAAATCTGAACACTGTTGAAACAGATTCCAACTGCATCCAGAGAAATATTACTAAAGTGCAACAGAATTGCCCTCAACTATGTCTAAAGAAACTGAATAAAAAACCCAATTAACAAACCATGAAAACCTATATAAGGGACACCATATAAATTGATCGCACTCAGTAAGAAATTCAGTCCATATTTACCTCTAAGTTCAATTTAGGAAGACAAATAATCAGTAGACGTAGCATGTTCTCTTTAAAGAACTCTTGGGTCAACTGTGCACAAGCTTCTGAAACAGGTTCAGATTCACTATTCCCATACAGAATTGACTTTAACTCCCGGATAACCTTACTTAACTCCATCAACTGTAGACAATGCATCATAGAAAAAAATTGTGCAAAAGTTAGCCACAAGAAACAAGTACACGACAATGGCCAACTTATTCCAACAATTGCACAAATAAAATGCAGTCTGTAAGTAACACTTTCTCGAAACCCAATTCCCTATAACATCCTCCTCCGGACTCCAACATAATTCATATGAGAAACTTATCCTTCCACAAATTACAGAGCTGAGTGTTCCGACCAAAATAAGTAAATGATTACAATGGCCCAAATGTTGCACCATAATGCACCCAACAACCCTTATCATAACAAAAGTGAAGGGACAAATCCAAGTGAATAGTCATCGACCAGATAAGGAATGAAGCAAATAAGGATCATCTAATATGAAATAATGCCAAGCTCAAAAGAATATAATTTGACTGAATATCATAAGAACTTAAATTTAGCACTCGTTACTTGATATAACCTTCTTCATTCTTCTAGAAATTTATTTACTAATTAACCCAATTCCTTCAAGATTCCAACTCAAATTCATAACTTAATGCAGTAAAGATCAAAATTTCTACCAATATTAATAAAATAAAACCCAAACTTAAAAAATCAATCCATCCCGCTCCTAACAAAAGCAAATGAAAAAGGCCAACCAATAAAACAGCGATTTATACAAAAACAGGTGAAGAATTTCCAAACAAAAATGGCACCTTTTCCTCGCGCTTGCTTTCGCGATTATCTGGATTGCGATCGACATAGACTAGGAGATCGCGGGTCTGCCGAACAATGTCAACGGGAGTCTTGGGCTTCGACTTGAACAGACCCTTCATTCTCTGGCTGCCGTTGGTATTTTCCGGTAACGCCGCCGACGGTGCTGTGGACGAGAGCCTTCGAACCACCACTGCCGACGACGTGGCTCGTTGCCCCGGAGCTAGGGACCTACGTGACAAACAGACCCCTATTGTTTCTATTTGTTTATCTCCCTCTAGAAAAATTATAGTCCTGTTGTTCCTCTCTCGGGAAAATTAAAGCGAAAAAGAAAACTGCGTGTCTTTTCTCTCCGCTAGGATTTCGTTTCGCTGATATCGGATTTTGGTGGCAATCCCTCAGAGAAAAGCAAATGATTCGATTGGTTGTTCAAATAATCAATCACCAAATCTTCAGGAGTTTAGCTGTGTTGTGTCGTAGATATAGAGATAGATACATATATCCACCTCTCTTTCACAATTTTCTAATAACTTTCATCCAAAAATCCAACAAAAAAAAAAAAATTGACATCACAAAATACACGTGTGCATCATATATGGGCTTCTTACTGGTTTTATATATATATATATATATATATTTCTAGTCATTGATTGAGCTGAATTGATCAACATAAGAGCATGAATTCAACCAAACAAAATTTGTTGAGATGGTGGCAAAAATTTTAATCGATAGACAATTTTCAACAGATTGTTTGTGAGGGGTTTCAAATGCTTTATTTTAAGTATATTGAAAAAAATTGATAAAAGATGATTCCTTTATAAATTTAATTGAAGAAAAAATTGAATAAACGTGATTGATTGTAATAATAACTGCTTCTTAAAATTAATTTAAAATTACTTCTAAAAATGTCAAGATCATGGATCTTTCTTAGAAGTTTGAGGAGTGTATTCTTCATCTTCTCCATTTCATGTTTTTTTATAATCACTATCTTCAACGATTTTGCGTCTGTTGATAGTTACTGGATGGTAACTTTTAATTAGTTACCATATTTTACCTTGTGATATTCTCCTGCCTTTTTTCATATTTTACCTTGTGATATTCTCTTTGTGCATTTAAATTGTTTGATGTCAATACATTGAATATTTATAAAATTTAATATTTTTATGTCAAAACAGTAGAAAATGAATAGTTTTCTCTTATATTTGTAATTAATTTTTATGAATGATGTATTACTCATCAAGTGAGAGATTTGTTTTATGTCAATGCAACCTCTACTGATGAATAGTCTAGAGATAATATTCAAACAGTGTCCTTTTGCTTTTATTGAGAGATAAAGGATATGCAAGCAGTTGTAATCCCACTTGCAAGTGAATCCAGCCAAGAGTAAGCACCTTTCCCGCCTTCAAACTCACATGCCTCACCCTGAGCCACTCATTTTAATACCTCATCCATCTCTGTCTTCCTTTAACATCACTTTCATAAAGTTTTTCTAAAGAAACATTGCTATGTTGCAATTCAATGCCCAACAAAATGCTAAAAAACACTCTCATGCAGCTTGGGTTTCTATGTGCACTCTGGTTGTTTCATTGTCCCTTGAGAAGATAAAATTTTCAGAACCTGAAAATCCAAAATAAATATGAACCATTCATTTGGTACTCCATAATGGATTGCCCATTATGGAATGTCTAATATCATATTGACAGATATACTATAGATGTTTCATTGGAATATATGGTATAAAATTAGCTAGATCTTTTATATGGTTTAACCACATTAGTAGTGGATCCCAAGAGGTTGACATGGTAAACTTAACTGTTATCCCACATGTTTCTCTGTCATTTATTTTTCAGAGAAAGTATGTTTCTCTGCATACTTACTCTGTCAAAGAAAGTATGTTAATTTGTTGGTAAATTATAGAACTCAAACAAAACCAAAGGGGGAAAATGCATTGGATGTTAGGCTGCTTCATGAGAAATTATCCAATATATTTGTTCACGCTATAACCACCGTGATGAAGAAATCACAGTGACTGTCATACAATGTGATGGTCACACTGCATGATTTCTCCTAGTCCAACGGGGCTCGAATCTTTGATTTATTCCTTATTGGTTAGCCAGAAACAGNCCTTTAACATCACTTTCATAAAGTTTTTCTAAAGAAACATTGCTATGTTGCAATTCAATGCCCAACAAAATGCTAAAAAACACTCTCATGCAGCTTGGGTTTCTATGTGCACTCTGGTTGTTTCATTGTCCCTTGAGAAGATAAAATTTTCAGAACCTGAAAATCCAAAATAAATATGAACCATTCATTTGGTACTCCATAATGGATTGCCCATTATGGAATGTCTAATATCATATTGACAGATATACTATAGATGTTTCATTGGAATATATGGTATAAAATTAGCTAGATCTTTTATATGGTTTAACCACATTAGTAGTGGATCCCAAGAGGTTGACATGGTAAACTTAACTGTTATCCCACATGTTTCTCTGTCATTTATTTTTCAGAGAAAGTATGTTTCTCTGCATACTTACTCTGTCAAAGAAAGTATGTTAATTTGTTAGTAAATTATAGAACTCAAACAAAACCAAAGGGGGGAAAATGCATTGGATGTTAGGCTGCTTCATGAGAAATTATCCAACATATTTGTTCACGCTATAACCACCGTGATGAAGAAATAACAGTGACTGTCATACAATGTGATGGTCACACTGAATGATTTCTCCTAGTCCTAGGTAACAACGGGGGCTCGAATCTTTGATTTATTCCTTATTGGTTAGCCAGAAACAGTGCAATTGCAGAGGGTGTTCCAATCAGCAAGTATATGACAATAATACCAGCCTGTGGCCCCTCCATGACTCTTTATGCGCGAGTCTCGATTTCATAAGGCATCATATAAGAAGAAATTGCAATGTGCAAAAGATCATTATCAAGAAGACTTATTAATAGTGGATGATATGAATCTAACTATGGTCTGCACACCGACCTTTAATAACAGATTGCAAGAGAAAAGGGAAAAGCTTCAATGGCAACCATAGCAGTTATGGAAATTGCCATGCTACCCAATGTATCTATTCATGCTAATGACATTTTGCTGTCTTTTAAAACTTGAAATTCGACTAGATGCAAAGGCTGGTAATTAAAATCAAAGAAAATCAGGATTCACTCTGCTTCATAATGTGTCATTACATATTTCCTTGGTTGATTGGAACAACTTTATAATGGCCACAATATTCACCAATGTACTCATTTACTAAAGTAAGAGCCCTTTGACAGTAAAGTGCATGTAGCAGAAGAAAACAAAATCCCATACCAACTACCAAGCAATGTTATAATTATCAAGTTTTTCATCTCAAGTGATATGACATAATCTCCATCATTGATTTTAATGAGACCCATTTATTTGATAGTGAAAACTGTGTCACATCACTTACAATGAAAAACTTGATAAGAAATTTTGGTCAGTATAATGTTGTTGTTATCCTCCTATCAATGAACATTGAAGACAAATCCAAATCTATTTATTGCCCACCTATATAGCACCCGTATCCCTTCAAAAATCATAAATAATGACAAATGAAGTGTTCTCATCTATAGAAAGTCCCTAAATTTGAAATAGGGCCGCATTTAAAAAATGAAGCTCAATAAAATACCATTAAACAATCAGAATTGTAAAATTAGGATTAGACTACATCATTGAAACGGGTATGCCTATTGTTTATGGTACTCCTAAAGGTTTTACAAGATAAGAGACGGCCAAATTGTGCGGCTCAAAACAAATCACTCGTCAAAATGTGGTAGCATCTCAATCACATCTCTTTTAAACTTGTAAATTTAGAAGTGGAATTGCTCATACACCATAGTTATGAAGTTACTCAAACATACATCCCCCAAGATAGATACCATTAAATGTCAAGAGATATGACACCATTAAATGTTAACAAATGAAAAGTANGAAGTGGAATTGCTCATACACCATAGTTATGAAGTTACTCAAACATACATCCCCCAACATAGATACCATTAAATGTCAAGAGATATGACACCATTAAATGTTAACAAATGAAAAGTGATATGAGTCATATGACACCACTAAAGAAAAAGACAAAGACAAAGACAAATTAGTTTTTATACTAACCCGTGGGCGCCTACAGAAAATCTACATTAAAAAGGGTTACCTAAAACATGAGGTTTTTGTTATTTTTGGGTCAATAAAAATTAGATGTAAGCAGTCTCTGCAGCTAGAGAGATTATTTTCAAGATACGAATTCGTGATTTTCAAGTCACAAAAGAACAACCTTACCATTTGCGTCAAGATTTGCCCTCTTAGAGAAAATCCATTGTGCACCCCTATCGTCCCCTTAAAATTTGTTTGGATTAGGACGAATTATGTTATACGGTTACACCAATATTGCATATGAAAAAAGAAAAAAAAAAGAAAAACTAAATGATAATGTGGCTTGATGTATAACTATAGGGGAAATTCCCAACTCATATAACCATAGGCAAAAAATCAAAATTCACGCATTTTTCATACTATTACTTAATTTTGGCAAGAAAAAACATCATCAAAGACAGTTACATCATAACTGCACACAAACTCGCTCACTTTAAGGAGAGAGATTTAAAGGAAGTAAGTTTTCTAAACTTCTGCCAAGGCTTCTCCCAAACAACTGCCTCATAATTGTTCGAAACAGTTCCGTCCTTGGCCGTCAGCACCAGTCGGTAGTTCGTCCCGGCGACGACTTGGGTTTCACCCCTAACCACGCTCTCGAATGTCAAGTTGGTCTTGGCCTGGTTGTTGTGTTCAGTCACCGCAAATTGACCGATTTGTTGCACCTTGGGGTCCTTTGGGTCTTTTATCGGACTCCAACCGCCAACAAGAGCCTCTTTCCGACGACCCACAGCAGCGGAGACATCAAAGAGAATGGAGGCAAACAGAAAAGAAAGGATCACAAAGAGAAGGGACTGAAGTTTCAGAGCCATTTTGGAGCGGTTGATTAAACTTAATGGAGAGGGTGTGGTGGATTGGTTTGAATTTATAGTGGGATGGTGGTACATTGAGGAGAAAATACTCAATACAACGGTTGCACGTGAATTTGGGTACATTGTTTCTGATATAACAGGTTGCCATAAATTTCATCCACACCTTTTTTAAATAGGTTTAATTTTAACATATTCTTGTCTTTTCTAAAATTTTATTGTATTTTTTTTTAATTTGTACATCCTCTTCACTTACACTCCTTTGTTACCCCCAATTACTGACCATCTAAAAAATATTGATGTCATATTAAAGTTTTTATTAAATGTCAATTTCAAAAAAGAGAAAGGTTGCCATTGAAAATAGACCTATTTAGACGAAACGTGGATCAAATGTACCCAAAATGTTGAATTTGTAACTGGATTTGGAAATTTGCAAAAGTGGTGTACACCTGTCGATGGTTTGAGTGGCAGTTCAAAATCAAGTGGGACTCCTCGAGTAAATATTCAGTAATTATGACGGTGATACATGATATGAATAACACGTGATATCATTAACTAATTATAATTTACCATGTAAGGTAAGGAAACTCCATTATTATAAGGTGGTAGTTAGTCAGCATGGNATTATGACGGTGATACATGATATGAATAACACGTGATATCATTAACTAATTATAATTCACCATGTAAGGTAAGGAAACTCCATTATTATAAGGTGGTAGTTAGTCAGCATGGTAATTATTAAAATAATAGGATCCACTATACACACATTGTATATAATCATTGGTTGGTGTCGGTGAACTCTACTATTCTATGTTGGCTTATTGTCCCTTATGTTTTATCTGTTTGTTCCTTTTCTAAGACAAACGAAATTTCTCAACAGATTGATTCCTGCCTAGGATGGCTTCACTATAAAAAATTGTTACAAGAATCATGGAAAAAAGAAAAAAAAATGAATTGGCAAGCCCTGCATCTATAGTACAAGATATTTTAACAAGAACAAGAATCAAAAAGAAAAAAAATGCATCAATTTTGTTTGAAATGATCTGCGTCTTTCAGATCAATGCAATGACTNTTCTAAGACAAACGAAATTTCTCAACAGATTGATTCCTGCCTAGGATGGCTTCACTATAAAAAATTGTTACAAGAATCATGGAAAAAAGAAAAAAAAATGAATTGGCAAGCCCTGCATCTATAGTACAAGATATTTTAACAAGAAGAAGAATCAAAAAGAAAAAAAATGCATCAATTTTGTTTGAAATGATCTGCGTCTTTCAGATCAATGCAATGACTTCCTACAACCTGCGTAAGCTTTATGGTGGTTTATCTGTCCCAAAGACAAGAGCTCCTGCAAGAACAAGAAAATCGTAAGTAAAAACTGTCATAAAGGAAACTTTTGAATAAAGGTAGAAAAATCATGTAAATTTGACCAAGTAAATATCGATTCAATTACCAAGAGTAGGCATCAAAAAAGTTAGTGCAGCAATTCCTGCAACCTTAAGTGGCAGCCCTGTCTTGATCATATCTAAAATCTCTATGTGTCCAGTTGTGAAACCAACAATATTTGAAGGAGTTCCTGTTGGAAGCAAGTAAGAAAATTGCGCTCCAATAGCTCCGGGAACCATGAGAAGGAGCGGGTGGATGTGCATGGTTTGCGCAATTTGGATCAGCAGAGGAATGAGAAGGGTCGTGGTGGCGTTGTTGGATGTGAACTCGGTGACTGTGCTGCCTATGAGACAGACAATAGGGGCAATGGTCAAATACGGGGCATTCTCTAGGAAGTTTATTGCCTCTGATAACACATCAGTAAGGCCACTAGACTTGACTCCTGCAGCTATTGCAAAACCAGCCCCTAATAGTAATACGATGTTCCATGGCAGCTTCTTGCATTTGTTCCAATCCATCAACTTCTCACCTGGTTGCTTCATGTTTGGAATTATGAAGAGTAAAGTGGCCATCATCACCTGAAAAAATCAATTGGAATCACGTTAAATTACATTAAACATATAACTAATTTTCACCTGTTAAATGAACAATCTTATGTTTGCCTCAAGTAATAGTACTCACACTAACAGTTCCATCACCGGCACGGTCATTGAAGAGAACTCCCCACCCAGGAATATCATCAGTTATGCTCCTTGTCATCCACAAAACTATTAGCATCTGCACCAACCCTTCTAATTAATTAGGCATAGAAAATCAAAATACTATACACCTATTCCATTGTACTCAATGAAGTTGCGACCCACCGAAAAAACTGCCAATATCATCTTCTCAGCAAAAGCCATTGGACCTGTACACATTACAATATAATTAAGCAATTGGAACATAGTCAGGTTACTTAGAAACTATTTTTTTTTTTTTTTTTTTTGAGAAACAAAACTCTCAAAATTGGATAGTGACAGGACAGTCCATGGGCCAGGTAAAGCAATTCAATCATGCCCATATTTAGGAAGCTCACCAAGCAATTCAAGCTCCCTCTTCAAATGGGCTTTGTCCAAATAAACAGAGAGCTCTTGACCAGACCCGCTTCTGCAGTATAAAATACAGAGTATACCCCACAAAGCAAAGAAAATCACCAAAGCCAGAGGGAACCCAAAGAAGAACCAAGTGTTGAAGCCGATAGGATTGGCTTCTGGGAAGTAACTCTTCCACATCCCAACCAATATGAGGTTGACACCTGTACCAGTGAGTGTACTTATCCCTCCAATGGCCGCAGAGTATATCACCCCCAGAACCACGGCTTTGCAGAAGTTACTGACAACGATGGATTGTGTGGGACGCGATGGGAAACGCTGTAGGATTCCAGTGGCCACTTGCATCATCAATACAGCTGCTGCCACGTTGTGCATCCACATGCTGACAAATGCTGTGGTGGCACATATTCCCAACAGAAGTAGCGGTGGGTTCAGTGGGTCCCCACAAAATAGGAGTGAGACCTGCATCGCCCATGCACGTGTACGGCTCAAACAATTCACCAACTTTTGTACTAAGATTGTTAAGAAGACTCATATACCTATGATAATGATAATTCTCTCCTTCTTCTTCGAATAAGTGCTTTTTGGGGCAGGCCAATTTGCATCTTATTATTAAGGTTATTATTAATAGGTTTTATTAATATTTTTGATTCGATTATTCATATTGATTTGGGATATAAGTCCATATGGCACAAAAAAAATTTTTGATTTTAATAAAACTTAATCTGAGACATATCAATTTTGTGAATATTTAAAATTAATTGAAATACACTTTTTTTCAACGTAGATGATTTAAAAATTAAAAAGTAGAAAATCAATAAACCCAAATTAAAAAGTCAATCCAAAAGTAGAGAACCATTTGTTTTTTTTTATTAATTTCAGAAAATTAAGCAAAAAACATATTCTTCTATAGTAAATATTTCTCCATATGGAAAAAAAAAAGAGAAGAGATTGTTTAAAATAAATGGAAGGAGTAAACGAGTGATTTACGCTACTCACATTCAACGCCAATCTCCTGTGAATGTTGTAATGCTCAACGGCAAGAGCAAGTATAAAGCTTCCAAGAACAAGTGCAATCACATCATCCATGTAAGACTGTGCTACATCATCAGCAGAGGCAATTCCAAAGAGAGGAAAGAGAAAGAGTGGTGCCATGGAGGTTATAGGCATTGGAACAGCCTCCGTCATCCACCAAGTGAAGACCCAAGCCAATACGGCCAGCATGTTCCGGCTGGTCACCGGAGCGTCGAGTTTGACAAACAGACAGATGATGGTACACAGTAGGGGTCCCAATAAAATGAAGAAACTGTTGAGGGTGAAAATGGAAATAGTCCATGAACGGAAGCTCCTCTGTGACCTGTGGGTTGGGTCATGAAGAGGAAGAAGAGGAGCACTGGGATCATCTGTGACTGCGTAAACTATTTGATCGCCATCCATTTTGGAGGAAAGAGGGAGAGATAAGATGTTGTGCTGGCAGGTCTAACTCAGCATAATTATATATGGAACTCGTTCAGCTATTTTCTATGTATTTTTCAAAGTGGGAGACGTGGTACACAAATTTGAGTTTTGCTTTATTTTTTTAATGTGGTTTTTTAGGTTCAATTATATGAGTTGATTTTTCGTCATTCATTTCAATCCTATTCTATCTAAATAGGAAAATATATATATATTTGTTTCCTAAGCATTGTAAAAAATTTCAGTACATCGTACCCAAATGTTACATGTGCCAATTGGGGTTCGCCACCATTGAATTGAAAGTCACTTTCTTAAGATGCTGACCAATCTTGCTATATTAATCAAATTACTATCAAATTTTGCGTATTAAATTGGTAGAAGTGATCAAATTAATGAGCCTTATCGACTCCCACTAAACCTTTTTCATGCTTATAAGAAGTTCATAATTTTTTATTATCATTTAATAATGGGATTTAGACAAAGAGTTATTTAAAATAATTTTATTATAACTGAGCAGTTAAAGATTCCCGAGACAAGATTATAGCTTGGCCAAATAGATCGAATAGAAGTCCAATGTTCTCTTTAATTATGTACGTAGTGGCTGCCTGTTGCTTGTTATTTTGCTTGTTCCAAAGTCTAATTCTGAGAAATATGTGGATCCCAAGAAGAACAAAACTATGACTTGGCAACATCAATGAATGAGAGGAAGCGTCCAAGCTCCAATAAGCCTCCGACATGGTGCCCCCATTACATCAATATCTAAACCAACTTGATCACCAGACCAAGTAATGCACTTGTGATGGTCCAAGTGCCGACTCCTTTAATAAGTAATTACAATAATCCGAAACTTCACGGAACTTCTCTTCAATCATAATAGTCGTTATCAATCTTAGAAAGAAGGGACGTAGTTGTGGCTTTTACGTATGTTATTACTACAAGTAGGCGTAACCATAGATTTGATGAATTTTTTTTTTTTTTTAAATTAGAAGTATTCGAATCAATTTACATATACTTCGATTTTTTTTTTTTGGGTTCGATTAAAAATAAATTAGCTACGTAAACATTAGAGTATTCCCACAAAATTGTCAAGATTAATATTCATGACGTCGGATTTTATAATTCATTCCTGTTATCACATGAATTACTTTTAGAATTAATGGTCAACTAATAAGGTTGAATGTTTTGATACAACTTTGTGGGGTCCTTTTCAATTTGTTGTTGCCGTATCATCGCACTAACCATCTTTAGATAAGTTTCAAATCTTCACCGGTAAACTATTAATCGTACTTTTTGCAACTATTAGCGTATAAGTAATGTTATTTAAATCTTGTATTGACGGTGAACTCTATCAAATATTAAAATTTTATGTTAATTTAATGATTATAATAAAATCGTATTATTATTAGATTAGCGGATTATGTCAACTTTTTTAGTTTAAATAACATTATTCGTTGGTGTATACTCTATCGCGTGCCGCGTATAAACAACCATTTACTCTCACAGATTAACTACCACTCATCTAAAACTTTTAAAAAATTATAAATCATCTTATAGCTTTATTGTAATTCTCTATCTGATATTCCAAATGATAAGAGCGAGAGAAAGAAGAGAGATTGAAGATGATGATGATGATGGTGATGATATAAATCTCAGTCATTGCACACGGACTAGTAGCTAGTATGGTTTATGACCAAGACCAGTCCTCCACTAATATTGCCATACAATTGCTAATACGTATAGAGGTCTCTTTGTTTAGAAGCTTAATATTAGAAATATATAAAACTTTTTGAATTTATAATTTATAATATAAAATATGACAGGTTTCAATAAGTCTATCAAACAGTCTTAAATAGATTCATCCAACGATTACCAACATTCTTTTCAAAATCATTCACATTAAATTTCTCTCATAAATCTATCATTTTTCATTTAGTGTGCCTTCATGTACGGTTACTCTTAATTATAATATAAAATATGACATGTTTCAATAAATTAATTTGACGGTCTCAAATAGACTCATTCAAAGGTCACTGACATCCTTTTCAAAATTGTTCATATTGTACTATACCTTCCTTCAAGGACGAGTTACCCCTAATTTATGATAAAGCGGATGGAATCCTCCAAAATTGCTTACCTTTGTTTTGCTGCAACATTTGGAAACGTTTAAGGGAACAAATAGATAGTCGTGCATGGGTGAGGTTTGACAATTGATCCAGAGCTTCTTGTAGTTTAATTTGTAGATTGGTCCTTTAGGTTTTAGTGATGGCAGGCTCTCTTTGCCAGTCTTAAGCCCAGATTATTACCATGAATTGGGTCCGTCTTAAATAGTCCAAAATTTATACCTCAAAATGTATATTTGCTGGGCTTTAAAGTTAGGAAAAACAAATGATCTTCACATAGAATACTAAGTTTTATTTGACCAGAACAACAAAAGAGTACCAATGTTTGGGGCTCCAGTAGATTAAGTGTTGGATGACTTAGTCAAATTGCTGACTTAGTCCGTCGGGAGTTTGTTGAGCAGTCCTCATTTTTAGAAGTTTGTTGAGTATGTTTTTATTGTTCCAGTATTGGTTAGTGTTAGCCTAGTTTGTAGGAGTTAGTGGTCCAGTTTAGTTGCTATTTTTCTGGTGTTTTCCGTTAATGTTAAGGCCTATTTATATAGATGATTATCTATTAGAATAAGACATGTTTTAACCTCCAAATCTTAGACTTTTTCTCTTGTCCATCAGTTTCAGTCCAGATTGTAACAGTGGTATCAAAGCTACTGAGTGAGAAGAGTGAGATAGAGAGTGGTATAGCAGCAACTTTATTTCTATTTCACCGGTTTTTCTTTTCTTGCAACAACAAAGGAGAACGATGGCTTCTGAAAATTTTGTGCAACCAACCATTCCTCGCTTTGATGGTCATTACGATTATTGGAGTATGCTAATGGAGAACTTCTTGCGGTCTAAAGAGTATTGGCAGGTGGTTGATTCTGGGATAGCAGAACCAGCAGCTGGTGCTACATTGACAGAGATGCAAAAGTCAAAATTGGAAGCACTAAAGCTGAAGGATTTGAAGGCAAGGAATTATCTCTTCTAAGCGATTGATCGTTCAATCTTGGAAATAATTCTTTGCAAGGACTCCTTCAAGCTAATCTGGGATTCCATGTAGAAGAAGTATCAAGGGAATCCATGGGCGAAACGTGTGTAGCTTCAAGCTCTTCATTGGGACTTTGAAGTTCTTAAAATGCAGCTGGAAAAGTCAGTTTCAGAGTATTTTTCAAAGATGATAGAAATAGCAAACAAGATGCGGATTTATGGGGATAAGCTTGAGGATGTCACTATTGTTGAAAAGATCCGACATTCAATGACTACAAAGTTTAATTTTGTGATTTGTTCTATTTAAGAGTCTAAAGATATTGATACTCTTTCAATAGATGAGTTGCAAAATCCCCCGCTTGTTCATGAGCAGAAACTAACACAACAAGACAAAGAAGAACAAACATTGAAGGCAGCCTTAAACCCAAGAGGTGCTAGACATGGAAAGGGAGAAAGGAAAGACAAGAATGCTCAACAGAAACCAGGAGAGAGTAAAAGTGTTGATCACTCTCAAGGAAACGAGAGGGGATGTGATGGTTAAAATTCTATAGGACACAAACCACAGTCAGCAGACAAATCTAAGGTTGAATGTTACCGTTGTCATAGGTATGGCCATTATCACTTGGAGTGTCAAACAATATTGAATAGAAATTACAGTGCAGAATCTTATTTTGCATAAAAAGGAAGAAGAAGAAGAAATTACCCTCCTTATGGTGTGTCAAACTAATGAGGAAACTCATAGGAATTTTTGGTATTTGTGTATCGGCTGTAGCAACCATATGTGCGAAGATAAATCAATGTTTTTGTATTTGGATGAATCTTTTCGAAATACTGTAAAGTTTGGTGATAACTCTACGGTATCTGTTTTGGGAAAATGAACAGTCACATTCCAAACCAAAAGGGAATTCTCATTCTATTTCCAATGTCCTATTTGTTCCAGATTTAAAATCTAATTTGCTTTGTGTTGGCCAGCTTCAAGAAAAGGAATATGAGATTTCCATTAAGGATGGAGTTTGTTGAATCCAAGATGAAAAATTGAGCTTAATTGCTCAGGTGAAGATGAAAGCAAAACGGACGTTTCCTTTGTATCTCCATCACACCATTCTTTCATGTTGTACTGCAAAACTAAAAGATACAACATGGTTATGGCACTTCCGCTATGGCCATCTCAGTTTTGGCAGATTGAAGACCTTGCAGCAGAAAAATATGGTGGCGGACCTTCTAGCATTTGCCTTAGATGGGTGTGGAGGGCAAGAAGCTTATAATGTTCTGCCGTTTAGTATGTTTGCAGGTAGAATTTAGTATCTTGTGTGCACGATTGGTTGGTGCATCAGTGGTTTGGAAAATTTTTGAATCACACTATTAGAATTGTCATCCAGTTCTTTCCTGGGGTAGTTATATGTATGTGATACCTTGGCAGTAAGAGAGAGAGATAAAAAAGGGCAAATAGTCCAAAGCAATCACGGAAATGATTAGACCAGAGCCTTGCCATCCAGTTTGGTTTGCCCAAATGAGATCTTCTATGTTATTCTTAGTTGTTTGCATTTTTGTTTTTGGAAGACCAAGTCACTCATATGTTCACCAAGTCCCTCAAGATGGTGTCATTTGTGAAGCTCAGAAAGTTGCTCGGTGTTTGCACTTTGGAAGACCCTATTTAAGGAAGGGTCCCTTTACTTCTAATAGGTCTTAAATTGAATGTTTGGTTGGTTGGACATCAGTTTAAGGGAGGGATTGTTGGATGACTTAGGGTGTGTTTGTTAACCCAAATTCAGTATTTGAAATGAATGTATTCAGCACTTATTAATTAAGTTCGTTTGATAATCAAAATTTAAACTCCCTTAATATGTTATGTGTTCCTTAAAAATATGTTACAATATTAAGTAGAAGATCCTTTATTTAATT